GAGGGTGAGGATGAGGATGAGGATGAGGATGAGGATGAGGATGAGGATGAGGATGAGTCAGGATCAGCCAGAAGAGCAGCCATGGGATGTGAGCAGCTCCTGAGCTGACAGCCAGGGTCACACACCAGCAGCACCCCGGGTTTGGGACTTCATTGCCAGCCAAAGTTCCAGCAGGATCCCTGCTCCTCTGTTCTCCCCACAGCCCTGATGCCCTCAGGCTGCTTTGGGGTCAGTCTCCAGTACCCTCCTCTTCTTCATCCACTTTTTGTCTCACGGCTTTCACCTGCTTGGTCCCCAGGGTACAGGAGAATGCTCCCCTGCTTCCTCTGCTGAGCATCCCAGGAGTGGAACTCCCACCAGGCTTCAAAATGCACCCATTAATCTTATTTCATTGTAATGGCAATCAACAAATCCCCCAATGATCAACTCCTGTACAGAAATGACACATTTACATCTTCATCCTCCTCTCAAACTGCGTTTTATTTCTGCCCTTTTTTTTCTTAAAGAAATCCAGCATTTCCCAACACTGTCACAGAACCCCAGAATGGTTGGAAGGGACCCCAAAAGTTCATCCAGTCATGAGCAGGGATAACTTCAACCAGCTCAGGCTGCTCCATTAGCAAATTAATGAAGGACATTGAAAGCACAGCCTTCTTTGCCCAACATGAAGCTGCTTTTCTGTTTTAATAAACCATTTTTTCCCCCTCCAGAGCAGCCCTGCTTTGCCAACACCCTGCATGTCCACAGGGTTTGAAGGTGCCCTCTGACTGTATAAGCAGGAAGGGCTTCAGCATCCAGAGAGGAGATTTAGATTCCACATGAGGGAAAGCTTTAGCACAGCACAGACAGATTTTAGGGAGAGAGAGGAATCTCCATAGCCAGAGGTTAAGAACAGGTGAGACAAACATCTGTCAGAAGCGTTATAAGTAGGGCAGAAGGGCAAATCAGATGACCTCAGAAGAATCCTTTTTTTCCCAGCCTCGTTTTTCTCTGATTATATGAATTTCTAAGCATTTGGGGTCAAGTGTACTGCTTAAATATCAGCTATTATCCTGCTTTTGCAGAGAGGTATTACCTGAGACTATTCATCACCTGAGTGAACATCACCAATTTGCAAATCAACTGCCCAGACATAAAAATCTGTCATTTTTTTTTTCGATTTATGCTGAAGATGAATGGGAGGACAGCTGTAACACAGAGATGGGAGAAGAATGAACACTGAGGATTCTCCATTTATCACTGGACTTTCACCTTTCCCACTCTAGAAATTCTGCTACCACACTGCTGACATCTACAACAGGGACCTGGGGGCAACCACAGGCTCATCACAGAATGTTTTTTGGTTTTGTCTTTGCCTTGACCTTTGCAAACCAAACTGGAACAAGCCTCCAGGACATCCAACACTGCAGGACATCTGGGGACTCAATGCCTCCTGCTGAACACTGACCATGAGACAAAGTTTGTCCAGCCAAGGTCTTTCCTGACCTCAACTCTCTCGGCTCCACATGTAACCAAGCTGCCTGACCATGGGAGCTACAGAATCTGCTGCTGGGGACCAGAGCATTGTTCCCCCACATCCCTGGAATTATTTGCGTGCAGAGTTGTGCTGGGAATGGTCCCCAGGAGGTTTCTGAAAGTTTGTCTAGCCGTGAAAAAGCCTTGAGCAAGGATTACACCAAGACAGGAGCAGAAGTATCCTGTCATGTGAATCCCCCTTGAGCCACTTATTGCCGTGTTAGAAATATTAGAAAAATTAGAAGAATATTTGTTACTAAAACAAGTTGGTGCCTTGATAGGCAAGGACAGAGCAGTGAAAGCAGCTCCTCAGTCCTACAAAGAATTACAGAATGATTTGGGTTGAAAAGGATCTTAAAGCCCATCCAGTGCCACCCCTGCCATGGGCAGGGACATCTTCCACTGGGGTTTGGGAATCCCAGATTGCCCCAAGCCCCATCCAACCTGGCCTTGGACATTCCAGGGATCCAGGGGCAGCCACAGCTTCTCTGGGCAAGCTGTTCCAATGCCTCAGTACCCTCTGTGTAAAGAATTTCTCCCTAACACCTAATCCAAATCTCTCCTCTGTCCCTTTGGAATGCTCAGTGCCCACCACTGGACCTGTTCTCATACAGGATTTTAGCTGCCAGCAAAGCTGAAATTCATTTCCAGCCTGGACCATAGGCAGGTTAAGGCTCTGTTTGCACCAGCAGAGAAACATTTGACACACCACAAAGGCAGGGCAAGGCTCACTGATGGCTCAGTGATTGCTTTTAGAGCTGCCTCTAACACGTGTGTGAGTGGCTGAGCAGCAGCGCTGGGGCTTGGCTGGCAAGCAGGACACAAGCAGAGGAGAGCAGGCTCTCACAGACACACATCCAGCCTCCAAAACACTTCACCAGCCATCAAATATTTTCCAAGCTTAGCAGCTGGACTCTGCAGCCCCTTTCAGCAGCCAAGTCACTAATACCTCCTCCCTCAGGCAGCACAGCTGATCTCAGGCAGGGCTTGCCAGCAGCTCTAAGCAGGCTCATTTAAGGAGAGTTCAGCCTACTTAGTTACACACTTCAGACTTGCTGCTTTTAATTCAAGCATCTCCAGGTCCTTTTGCAGTGCCTCTGATTCACAGTGAAGATGTACACTCATAAATATGCTCTGACACTTTTTCCCACCGTGTCCTCTCTCTAAGCTCTGCACTCCTGTCCCTGCTCAGTCTGACACCAGTTTTCTTGGTCTGGGACTCACCCCATGGCCTTTTTTGCTCCTGTCTAAAGCCACAGAAAGCAGGACTGAGAGGTTTCAAGCCTCCTAATTGGAGAGGTCCAGCACTGCAGACGTTAGTGTGGAGTACAAGCAGAGCAAATATGCAAATGCATGGAGAGGCTTAAGAGCCCAGGAAGGAAACTCCAGTGGGAAGCTCCCAGCTTAAATCTAAAGGCAGCTCTTTGAATGTGCACAGGCCTTGAGGCTAAACAAAAAAATCAAAGCCAGATTTGGGCACAGCCTTTCTCCCTGTGCAATGCTCCACAGGGAGATTTGAGGGTCTAGGCAGAGGAGATCCCAGCTGAAATCAAGGATTTGTCCCTGTGGTGTGGGAGAATGAGAGCAGGACAAGGTCAAGCAAGGACACTGAGGGGTGTAAAGGGGAATTAGGGCAGAGTAAGGCAGGAGCAGTGTCCTTGCAATGAGACTGCCATCCACATTCCTCATGGGCCATCCTTGGAGCATCAGGAGAACCCCCCAGCAACCAAGGCTTGAGCACCAAGGAGCAATCCCATATCCTGAGCACTGCCTGCCTGGAGATGTTGGGGCAGGAAAGCACTCTGGCATTTCTCCCTCTTCCCTTTGCTCACACTGGAACTGGCCTCTCACTTGAAAGAGCTCATTAAGGGTAGCAATCAAAGCCTGGGGAGCAGCTCCTGCAGCCCTGGGCTGTAATGCCCCTGTCTGTGCCTGCCATCAAAGCCAGCCCTGTGCACATTCCTGCAGTGGCACTCAGAATAAACCGAGGCAATTTCTTCAGACCATTTGTAGGTCAGACAGACCAGCCTCTTCCCCAATCCTGCCCTTAAATCTTGCAGTGTTTAATCCTTGATCTGCAGCCAGGCCTTAATTTCTCAGTGCAGAGCTGGCTGGAGACCGGAAGGCGAGGGGCTTTGATGGTTAATGGCCAGTGCTTCTCAGCCCTGGATGAAATGAAGCCCTGGCTTCAGAAAGTCCCCTGAATAAATCCTGCCCCAGCTACAGCCCAGGGAAGCAAAAGGACACCAGCACACACAGAAACTGGCACAAGCTGTGACATTTCTAGGTCTTGTTTTGGTTTAGGTTTGAGCTGAGAGTGCACCTGGGTCTAAGTGATTTCACCCCTGTGATTTGCACCATGAAATAACCTTCACCAGCTTGTCCATGAGCTAATTGGGGCATGAACTGGTTAAATTGGGTGGTGTGGTGAGCTGGAGGCAGAGCCAGCACTGGGACAAGGATTTGCACCATGAAGTAACTACAACAGGTATATTCCTCCCAAATATTCCAAGACCCCTTGCTTTAGCTCATCAGCAAACACAGTATTTCTGCTTGTTCTGATACCTTCACCAGCTTATCCCTGAACTAAATGGGGGGATGAACTGGTTAAATTGGGTGGTGTGGTGAGATGGAGGCAGAGCCAGCACTGGGACAAGGCAGTGGGACAAGGATTCACAATGAAGTAACTACAACAGGCATATTCCTCCCAAATATTCCAAGGCTCCTTGGTTTAGCTCATGAGCAAACAGAATTTTTGCTTGTTCTGATACCTTCACCAGCTTATCCATGAGCTAAATGGGGAGATGAACTGGTTAAATTGGGTGGTGTGGTGAGCTGGAGGCAGAGCCAGCACTGGAACAAGGCAATCTCAGCTCCTTGGTCTCTGCTTTAGGGTTGGTTATGTGAAGACAAGACCTGTTGGTTATTTGAAGACAAGACCTGTTGGTTATTTGAAGACAAGACCTGTTGGTTATCAGAAGACAAGACCTATTGACAGGTGAGGATGGCAAAGGGGTGCTCAGGGGCTCACTTACCGCGCTGCTACAGGGAATGTCCTTGACCTTGAGCCAGGCCAGATCTAAGGTCCCCTCTCCCCTGTAGCAGGACTGAAGCCTGTCCTTGATGCGGTCGTTGATGTTCTTCAAGACAAAGATGCAAAGAGCAGACTCATCCAAGGACTTCATCTTCCTTTTCTGCCCCTTGGAGAAGACTGTGAAGAGGATATCATCCTCAGGGCCAACCCCCAGAGACCTGGCCAGGATGGCTCCAGCCTTGGACAAGTAGGCAGCCTGCAGCAATCGATATTCCACCCCGTTCTTCTCACAGCCAATGGGCACCTCCACGTAGGAGTTGAAGGCTGTGTCCTCCTTACAAAGCCTCACCAGCTTGGAGGTATAAACCTGCTCCTTCGTGGTGGAGCCGGGTGGGGAGATCATCTCAGGCTGCAGAGTCAGGAAGTAGACAAAGTTCCCACTGCTGAAGCCGTAGATGTAGTAGATATCAAAGTCGGGGATGATGGTAAAGGTGTCTGAGGGGATCTTGATCATGGAGGCCACAAACTCGTCGTGAAAGACATATGCAAACATCCCATCAGCCTCGGAGTTCTTGGTGAGCTTCCTGCTGGAGATGGTGGGGAAATACTCCGGCTTGCCGTCCACGGCTGTGGCGATGAACAGCTTGTCGTCCATGTTGCTGTAAGAAACAATGACTCCAAAAACAGAGCCACTCTCGTTCACCCCAGAGAGGTAATGCTCCTTCTTGTGGAAGGGCTCTCCCAGCTTGAAAAGGTCATCCAGCCTCAGGAGCTTGCAGATGCCCTGGTACAGACTCCCACAGGCTATCAATCGATTCTCCTTGTAGTCTATGAGGAGCATTTTGTTTATGTTGTTGGTGGGCGTCAAGGGTTCGTTGCAGGTTTGGACTATCCTGGGAGGATAACACTTGGGATTGTCATCGTCAGGACCAGTCTCGTGGGTCACCAGGACCTTCAGGTCACTGGAGAGTTTGTAGATCCTGTTGACAGCCCCCAAGTAAATGTGCCCAGTCCTTTCGTCCACCACCAAGTGGTTGAAGTTTCCCTCTGCTTGCTCTGCAGTGAAGGTGATGAAGGGCCTCTTTGGATGGGGTGGCTGCTGTCTGCCCAGAGGTGACACTGTGGTGGACAGCAGGAGGTGGGAAACCAGGCAAGTCCATTTCCACATGGCCGGCGACATGATTAGAGAGGTTTGTATTCCCAAGGCAACAAGGATTAGAAGCTGTAAAACTCCTCAAAACGCCAATTCCCTGGCAAATTCTGTCCTACAAGCAGAGAAAAAAGAAAACAAAAGTACATTACTATGGAGTATTCCTTCCTCCTCCCTCCTTCACAACCATGCCATCATCAGAGCGTATTTAATTGCTAATCCTCCCTTTCTCCACTCTGAGCTCTCTACTTAAAACCAGCACAAAGGGAACCCTCCTGACAGAAAAGATGCTGGGAGAAAAAGCAGAAATCACACAGCAGAGTAATAAATCAGCACCGTTTCCCTCTCCATTACACAGCCACGTGCCCCACGGTGCAGCACAAATATTGACTGCAAGTGCAGAAGGGTAATGGTAAAAACATCACCCAGCATTGCTGCCTGCACTGCCAGCACCAGCCCAGCTGTGAATTTGCTATCTGAGACGCCAGAACTGGAGAAGGATTATTGTCCTGCTCTTCTGGATGAGGCACTGAAGCCTGGAGAAGGTCAGGGATCTGCCTGCAGGGATGGGGCCAGATGGATGCTGAGCTCTCCTGCAGCCCTTGAAGTTTGCCAGGAAGGAGCCAACTCTGGTGTGACATTAACATCCTTTCAGGGAGATCCCAGCCCAGAACAGCTCTGTTTGAGCAGGAGCTCTGTGAATCCAGATCAAAGCTGCCTCACACCAGCCCAGCCTGCAGTACAGACCCAGGGGTTGAGGTGTGCCAGCTGTCACTGCCACATCTGCAAAGGGCTGGGACCAAAAGGGGCACTGGGTGTCCTCTCTGCCCTGGGTTTTCACCGCAAACCACTCTCCACCCACTTCACAGCCAAGGGAACATCATCTAAAAGAGATCCAGCTCTCCTGGGGATCTCAGCTGACTGAGACTTATCTACCAGCAGTGTTAAAGCCTAAAGCACCGTGAAGTAGGAAAAACAATGACCCAAGAACCACCCTGGTACCTTTCCAAAGAGAGGGAAGAGGCTTTCCTTGCACCACTCAGTCCCTTAAAATCTCCCAGGTTTTGACCATGGTGGTGGGAGCAATGTGGGGTTCAAACATTTGGTGGGCACATCACCAAGCCCCACGGAAACACCTCTTCCTACTCAGCGCATCCATCTGCTTCCTTTTCCTTCACTTTTTAGGTTGCTTCTGTACTAAGAGCAGCTTTACCCCTTCATGGCCTCACAGAGCATGTGGGACATGGAGTTCTACCAGCTCGGGCCTCACCTGCCAAGCTCCTCACTGAGTGCTGACCACACAAACCTGGTGGCAAGGCCCTTCATCTCTCTGTCATCCAGATCAGAACTTCACAAAGCTGCTCTTGATTTTAGAGAGGGCACAAGCCAAACACAGCCCCACTCCCGCCGTGTCCCAGCCCCTCTGTCACAGAGTGACTTTGCTGAAATCAGGGGTGTCATCAGTGATGACAGCCAGGCTGGCACAAGTAGGAGGCAAGGAAAAAATCCCTGCATGCAGATCCCAGCAGGGAGGAAGATGTGACAGTGACACAGGCCTGGATGTGCAGCTTTTTCAGATCTCTGCAGCTCTGCTAATGCTGGCAAAACAGAAAAATCTACTTCAGAAAATAAAAGGGAGAATAAATCCCACATTCCTTTGACCCATAGGCTGATTAGATCCTGTCACCATGATATTTTCTGAAAAATCCCTTTGCCAGGATTTTTCTCCTGAGAAGCTGAGAAGCCTCAGAAAATAAATGTAAACAATAATTATCTGATTGCTTTGGAATGTGGTCTGGAGGTTGTTTACCAACAGGTGCATCTTTGATTGGTTCCATGTGAATTGTTTTTAATTAATGACCAAACACCATCAGCTGTGTCAGGCTGAGTAGTCAGTCATGAGCTTTGATTATCTTTCTTGTTTAGCCTTCTGATGTATTTTTTTCCTTTAGTATATTTTTATAATTATTAATTTTATAATTTCTTTTAATATAATATCATAAAATAATAAATCAGCCTTCTGAGAACATGGAATTGAATTCTCATCTTTCACCTCGTCCTGGGGACCTCACAACACCACAAGATCTGATAGTGGAAAGGGTAAGTCTGGGCTTGTAGAGCAGCCACCACTTTTATGCCACCACAAATATTTCAAAATTCTCTCACAGCAGCCAGAATTCCCAGTCTGTTGTAGCATCACCTTCACCTCCTGCTGCCCTCCCTGCTGCAGCAGCCGCAGGCATTGCATGGATGATGGACAAAGGTCAGCCCACATTTGCTTTAGTCATGTTTACCCTGTTCTGCTTTGCCTCTCTGGTCAAGCAAATATTTAATAAAACCAAGCTTATAGTGCAGAGTTTGCAGGACTGGCTCTGCAGGGATAGGCAGGCTGGTCACGTAGGCTGTTAATAACCTTTATAATGACGGATAGAGCAGTGGTGGGATGAGCTCTCCCCCCACAACCATTCCTCCTTCAAAAGGGCCCATCCTTGAGGGAGCAGCAGAAGAGGGAAGCTGTCCCTGTTTGAGCCCTGTGTTCAGAAGCATCACGTGGCGACCCTGAACACCAGCTCCCGTCACTGATGAGTTATGATCCACCTTTCTAACAGGCACTGGTTTGATCAGGAGCTAGGCAGATCTAGGGAGAAATTATTCTTTTCAAGTACTAAAAAGGTACCTGTTTTACCCCTCTACTTTACTGTATTTTGCTCTGCAGAGTCAGCAGAGCTGCAGGAAAATGAGAACTGCTGCAATCTCAATGCTGATCCTGAGCAGCCCCTCTGTCCAAAATTCATCACAGCACCTGCAAAAATGGGATAAAATCTGCCCATTAAAACAAACAGTCAACACAAAATGAGAAGAGACAGGCTCCAGACAGAAATTCTTCAAGGTCCATGCAGGTGAGAATTGATTTGAGGTCAGGCTATCACTTACAGAGGAAAGGAATGATGAGAACCTTGGTAGATCCCTTCCAACCCAAACCCTTCTGTGATCCCTGCAGGAAAAGACAGCAAATTTGATCTGGAGACCAGAGAGACTCCAGTGAGAAACTCCAGGAAGGAGTTTCTGTATTTTGCTGTATTTTACTGTATTTTGCTCTACAGAATCAACAGAGCTGCAGGGCAGGGAAACGGGAACTGCAGCAATCCCAAAACTGATAACGAGCAGCCCCTCTGTCCAAAATTCATCACAGCCCCTGCAAAAATGGGATAAAATCTGCCCACTAAAACAAACAGCCAACACAAAATGAGAAGAGACAGGCTCCAGACATAAATTCTTCAAGGCCCATGCAGGTGAGAATTGATTTGAGGTTAGGCTATCACTCACAGGAGAAAGGAGTGGTGAGGAGCACCTTGCTAGATCACTTCCAACCCAAACCATTCTGTGAAAACACAGCAAATTTGATCTGGAAACCAGAGAGACTCCAGTGAGAAACTCCAGGAAGGCTTTACAGCAGGCAAGGATGCTTTCCAAAACACTGAACCTCACAGGGGAGGAAGTTCACCTGCAGAGGAAGGAGCATCAGCAGCCTGAGAGCACCAGGAGCAGCTTTTTGGGACAAAGCAGGGAGAGCCTGGGGCTGTTTTGCCATCTTCCAGCAGCCATCTGAGTGACCCTAGGAGCAGGATTTTCTCTCTGCTTGCTGCTGGCACTCTCTCCTCTCCCATCTGCTCCTGCTGTACCCTCTGTCCTGGAGCCCCAATCAGTCCTCATAATTTATAATTTGGCTTAATTAATAAATACCAGCAGAGGTCAGGGGCAAGGAGGCCTGGATGTTTAGCCTGCAGAATACAGCAGGGTTTGTACAAGACCTCAGAGGATGCATCAAGAAGAAGGGAATTGTGGATGGGGTTTTTTTCCCTGTGTCTGGATGGCAGGAATCACAGCAGCTGGGAAGGCAATAATCACTGCCATGGACATGCAGAGACTACAAGAGAGTAATTATATTCTAAAAACAAAGCAAATAAACAAAAAGCCACAGCCAGCAAGGGCTGGACTTGGGCTCTGAGCTGGCTGTTTCCAAAATAAACCCAAAGTGCCTTTTCCACTGGGGATGTGGCCAGCAGGGATGCCATGAGCCACCACACAGGGCTCCTGTGTGAGGCCAGGTCACTCCTCAACGTGGCTCCTGCCACATCACCTCTCCATCAGCACACCCAAGGTCCCTGGGAAGGTCACAGAGCTGTTTCACACAGCTGTTTCAGAGGTTTCACACCACTGTCCTGCCCATGGAATCACAACTTTATGGCTTGCAAACAACACGTTGTCCAGAAGGTGCCTTGAACTCCCAGAGTTTGGTTTAAATACTGGTTTCCCCCTGGAGAAAAACAAGTTATGGTGCTACTCCACAGCCTGGTTACTTTTATTTTGTTGTTATTGAGCATTTCCAGCAAAGGTTTGAGACCACTGAGTTAAAGGTTGCAGTTTAGATCTGCTCAGGGATCTCCAGGACACAATCCCAGGATTCCAGAACATGAAACTCTGTGGTAAATAGATGGGATTCTGGGCAAGAGCAGCTTGGATGTGAACGAGTCTCAGAGGAAGAAACACTCCAAATGTCTTTTAAGTCTGATTATTAGATGGGAAATTTAGGGAATGATGAATACATCCTCGAAATGCAGCAGCGTGCAAGGGGACAAAGTCAAGGATGAGTTATGCCTGAGGAAGTAGGAATAAATCAGGAATAAAGAGGACACAAAGGACTGATCTGTCAACTGAGAGAGAGGGAAGGACTCGGGAGGAAGTGTGCAGGGAGAGGGGAAAGAGAGAGCTGGGTTTTGATTGACAATCTCACAAAATCCACAGTCATGTCCTTAAACTGGAGTCTGAGACAAATCCACCCCACTCCAGTGACAGCTCCTGAAAGGAACACATCACTGGGTGAACATAAGAGCATTTTACCACCAAAGGGGTATCAGGCACAGAGGTGAGACAGAGACTCCATCCTCAGAGAGCATGAAAAGACACCTTATTAGAAATCTACAATTCTTGTAGAAACAATGGTGGACCTAAGACCTGATCGGCCTTGGTGAGAGGAATCCTCTCTCACCTATTGGTGATCTATGAACAGCACACTCTGGAGAAGCGTATCTATAAAAAAACCAAATATCTGTT